ATATGTAAGACAGTCTAATTGTCGAGCATGATATGACCTATCGTACCGTACCGTGCGACATGATGTCACGCAACGTCATCCTTTAGTACGCCCGTCAAGTTTAATACATGTAATCTCGTTACTCGGGGCAGGTTTCGCCCGATTTTTCGGAGGGCGTGCGTAGAAACACCGGTCTCTCACGAAATTATAAGTTGTTAAATTCGCCAAGACAGTATGATCGACGTTAGCGTGCTTTCATCGCGCGTTTAACGTTACAGCGCTGTCTGACTTCGGACTCTGACGTGAGAAATATATAATGTAATGGAGACGTGAGATTAAAGTCAGTTACGTTTAACGGAGAACGTACGTAGGAAATAAATGAGATATTCGTCTTTTGTCGGCTCGCGTTCCTTAATACCGACGTATAGTCCAAGATTTCAAGATTGAAACCCGGTTGGCTCCGCCGATTCGTCGAAAGATATGGGAATGCCTGAAATAGTTAATTTATTTTCCATTTTACGCAGGTTACAAAATCACTCCGAAACCGTGTAAAGTGCCCGGTTCGGAGAGCAAGGAAGGCACGTGCATGTTTGTGTGGGAGTGCATCAAGTCCGAGGGGACGCACGTGGGTGTGTGCGTGGATACCTTCATGTTCGGCAGTTGCTGTATTCACAATACGACGGTGAACACGATAGGCACGTTTTACCATCCTCATAATCATTATCAGCAGCACCAGCAGCAACACGACGGTACGACGAGTACGCTCAGGCCAGGTTTACTTCTGGCGGAGCCAACCGGGAACGAGACCATCAGATTAACGTCGACGTCCCTCTTGGGATTCTCCTCGACAGCGTCAACCACCACGAAACCGAATCTCCATCACTTCTCGGGATCTCACGGTTTCGTAGGCTCGACCAGACCGATGAAACCATATTCGCACGGTGTCGGAAGGCCTTTGCAGAAAAGGCCGCACGCGAAACCAACATCCGAGCACGAAGTCGACGTCCTGCAGACCCCCGCAGTGTCCTCCGCGTCTACGGACACGTGGGCGGAAGGAAGACCGCAAGAAACGAAGAGACCGGGTCATCACTCGGGTCATTCTCATCATCACAAGACGAGGCCGGACGACGGAACGCCGAGTGACAATCCATCGTCCGTTCTAAGCCAGCCGGGTTTCAAGGACAAGCTGGAGACACACAACACTTTAATAGTACGCTTGCCGGGGAAGGAGCACGCCGATGATGAAGTCGTTGATTCAAGTGGCCTGAGCAAGCCCAACAAACAGGGCAAACCGGGTAAACCGGGCAATCAAAGGCCCTTTGAGTCGAGACCGGACGATGGGAAGACTGAAGATGTTGATCTCAGCGTGCAGGAAACGATAAATCGACCGAATGTCAATTCCGTCATTGAAAGCGTAAGGAAGGAAATTTATTATTATAACTCGTGATGACTCTATGATTATAACTCGTGATTCAGCGAGATAACTTTAAAAGGATTTCTTGTATAACATTCTTCTCTTGTCGTCGAGAGTTCACTTTCCTTGGATCAGTCAGGCACCTATTTCGAGAGTTTATTTAAATTATAAAAGATACTTTGTCCATTTTGACAATTATAATAAAATTATATGAAGACGGAAGTAAAAAAAGAAACTGAAACTGTCTCGTCTAGTTTCTGTAAAAATTGTACATTGCATTTATTAACAAATTAGCAATACTGGGATTAATATTTATGTGATGGAAATTTAATAAAAATATTCCTTTGACTCTATGTAGTTAAGGAAATATTTACATCGCAGCTAGCAAAGCTATTTTAGGCGCGATATAAGCAGCGAGTTTAATGGAATATCGATTTTCCGCCAGGAAATGGGGAAAGAGACGCATCCGGGCTTGAATTTCGTGCACACTGAACGACCGCACTGGGCAACCAAGCCAGCACAGTCAAAACCATCGTCGACGGATTTCTCCAAGCCGTATTTTTCAATTAAAACGACCACTTATCGACCAGTAAGCAGTCAGCCAGATCATAGACCGAATTTTATCTCGAGGCCCAACTGGGTACTATCCACAAAAACGTCGACGACGACTGTCAGGCCGACGTATGCCAGACAGCCTTCCACCAGGTATGCAACTAGTTTTTAAGTCGTCTGGTTTAAGTCGCAAAATATATATATGTAAATCTATCGTTTCTCCTCCAATAGTTTCTTTTACATGTATTATGACGCAAAATATTTATATTTATATAAATATTTATGTAAATATTTTGCGTCATAATACATATAAAGTGTTATATCATCATTATCGCAAGTAAAGTACATGTATTTAGTATATCATTAGTATATCAGTCGTATTTTACGTCCATTGCATATCGAGCCCAACTTAAAATTTATCTTTCATTCTAGCACAGCCGGATCCGTGCCACAAACCTCTCACTGGCAAGTGACTACGGAACCGGCATTCGTCACAAAACAAAAACCGTCATCGTTGTCCTCATCCTTGCCAACATCATTCTCCTCGCTTTCATCATCGTCGTCGTCGTCGTCGTCGTCATCGTCGTCGTCTTCGTCTTCGTCGTCTTCGTCATCCAAACCGATAACCGCAATTACTGTGCCGGAAACCGTACGAATTCCGTCTTTAGGTACGAGTTCTCATTTCTGGTCAAACAGCTGGACACCACCTAGGCCGTCCTTGAAACCTCACTGGACCGACAGTCCCAGCCTTCTTCAGAATGGCCCGGAAAATTTTCCTCCGCGACCGAGCCTAAAGCCAACCGAGTCGCAACAGGTAGGAAGACGTTTTCTTTTCTTGATAGGAATTAATTAATGCTGCCATAATTATTCTTTCCTCTCGTTCTCATGTTTAAATCATAAATACATAAAGTCGAAAGCGTAAACGCGGACTATATAAAATTCGTAAAAATATTAAACATAAGATTTCTCCCGATTATGGAAAATGTTAATATTTATTTATTCTTACACACATCAACTGATACTTATTAAAATATTGATAAATACATCGTTAAAATTTTAGAAAAACAATGGGATCTTATTTATAACATTGCTAACGTTAACAATTGATTTCCTGATGTTTTCCATTTTGTAGAGCACCGAATATCAGAAGCCCTTGGGTTCGGCGCACTACATAACGACGTCCCACTTGGAGACTTCAACTAGGCCGCGGCCCACGAAGAAAACCACAATGCAAAGCACGACACCATCCACATTGACGTCCTCCGCCAGCGGTACGATCAGTCCGACGAGCACGACGGCAACGATGACGACCACGAGCAGCACGACCAGCGCAAGCAGGACGAGTGCCACGAGCGTCACCACGACGCAAGGATTGTCGACCACCGAGGTGACGGTAAGCGAGAAAGCAACGGGTTCTGTGATGACGGTCGCGGCCGCTGACGAGAGCAAGAACATGCAGTGCGGCGTGCCACCGTTATTTCCGCGACCGGAAACGAGGATCGTCGGCGGCAAGGACGCGTCGTTCGGCCGATGGCCCTGGCAGGTGTCCGTACGTAGGACCTCCTTCTTCGGTTTCTCGAGTACTCACCGTTGCGGCGGGGCGGTGCTCAACGAGAATTGGATCGCCACCGCGGGTCATTGCGTCGACGAGTGAGTATGCTACATTATTTTTATCGTCCTTCACTTACGACGTGCACCGTTAAATCTTGTCCGTTTCAGTTTGCTGACGTCGCAAATCCGGATACGAGTCGGCGAGTACGACTTCTCGTCGGTACAAGAGCGACTGCCCTACGTGGAACGCGGAGTCGCCAAGAAAGTCGTGCATCCCAAGTATAACTTCTTCACGTACGAGTACGACCTCGCGCTGGTGCGCCTCGAAAGTTCCTTGACGTTTGCCGCGCACATCTCGCCTATCTGTCTACCGGCCACGGATGACCTCCTGATCGGAGAGAACGCGACAGTCACCGGCTGGGGAAGGTTGAGCGAGGGTGGAACGTTACCTTCTGTATTGCAGGAGGTAATTATCGTTTTGACGATTAAACCCTTTGGGTTTATACATTCCTTCAGATTCCTCCAACTTTTATTATTCTCTCTTTCAAGGTCTCTGTGCCGATAGTGAGCAATGACAGGTGCAAGTCGATGTTCTTGAGGGCCGGTAGACACGAGTTCATACCAGACATTTTCCTCTGTGCTGGTTACGAGACTGGCGGGCAGGATTCGTGTCAGGTACGTGCATAAGAATACTTAAATTGATCTACTCTAGCTGTTCATGTATCAAATTTCCACTGAGCGACTTTTGCGTTCTTGCATCACACAGGGCGATTCCGGAGGACCTCTCCAGGTTCGCGGAAAGGACGGCAGGTATTTCCTCGCTGGTATCATATCCTGGGGCATCGGTTGCGCGGAGGCTAACTTACCGGGCGTCTGCACGCGGATATCCAAGTTCGTACCATGGATTTTGAAGAACGTCACTTGATGTACTCGACGATGAACGCGAGGAGACGACATAAAGCGACTCTCGAACTCGGACGAAATTTATCGCACAAATAAGCGATTCGCAGTGTCGTCTCATGCGATATCAAAAGACATTATCCTAGAATTTTCACGCGATTGAAAATACGACTACTATATCGTTTGCATTTATTTATTTGCATTTACACTGCCACTCACGGAGTAAAGATCCTGGTTGCTATATATATGAAAAAAAATATACCCGGCACTAGAAGATGTGAGATAAGATCATCGCCGGGAGTTATCGAATATACGTATATATTAGTGACGTATGTGAAATCTCGTGCATTGTAGCAGCACAATGAACTGTATTTATACATAAAAGTACGTAAGGAAATAATATATTTGCTAGATTAAGGCTAAATAAACAAGGGAAGTCTCAATTGCGTAATAAAAAGATCAAAGGAATAGTCCGATAGATTTCAAAGATACATCGTTATCATTCTTGCCACTTCGATTCGAATATGAAATACAATACACAAAGACACACACACACACACACACACACACACATACGCGCGCGCGCGCGCGTATGTATATACTAAAAAAAATTACGAAAGAATCGTAAATTTGTAAATTACATAATTGTCGACCTATTCTATTGTTGTAAAGTCAGTTTTAAAGCCAGATACTGTCGATCCTGTAACTTAGACGAAAGAGCTAAAGAAAATCAGAGAAAAGTATGAATTTTTTTTACAATAATTGCGATTTCGATTCTCGTAGTTTTCGAAACAAACGTATAAGTATCTGCTTTTATTGATTAGCAAGATGTATAGAAAGTTTGTCCTTCGCTCTACAGCGTGAGACAGCTTGAAATATTCTTCCAAATGCTCAATTCTACACATTTCAAGTTATGCTCACTGTGTGGGGGCTACTTTTTTTATCTTTAATATTTCTTTATTTACAAATAGGAATTTTTGTACAGAGCACAATATTAATTGCGTATACTTGATAATAATTGTGTGCGAGCTAATAGGAGAAGTCCACATTATGGAATTATTTATAAGTGTCGTCAAATAAACGAGTGTTTATTTAAACCTTCGATCTAAATCATATATATATATATATATATCCCTACAATATTCTCGAATTAAGCGGATCGTCCACTCGACCGGCGATTAAACTCACTGAAGTCTCGGTGTCGACGATGAAATAAAGGAAGGGATGCAAAGCTGTAAAGGGTTCAGGTCCAGCTCTTTCGAATAGACCATTACCTAAAAAAAAATCATAATTATTTTGCAAACTTTTACAAAGAATTATTTTAATCACAGAAAATATAAAAAATGTTTTTAATATTTAATAATATTTAAAAATATTTTTAATATTTTTTGTAATATGCACGTTACATTTTATAAAAGACAAAATAAAAAATCACGTACTTTCCAAAGCAATAATAATATTCAACAAAGATAAATTTGCAAAAAGAGTATTTACACAGTTTAATCTTTGTCAGTTACAGAGCTTAAAAATTTTGATGTGCACGAAAATGTAGCAGTCTAGCCGCGCATAATACAAAGCTAATACTTTGTGTTATTTTACGTAGTGCAGAGGAATTAGGAAGACGTTTAAATTACGATAGAAAAATATAAGAGGTTTGAAGTTAAAGTGTTAGCGAGGAATCAAAGCTATATTTTAACGCATTAGAAGAGAAACTATACAGGATGTCTCATTTTAATGTCCCACCCCAAATAACTTTTTTATTTTTCATCTTAGAAAAAAATGTTTCAGACAAAAGTTGTAGACAAAAGTAATAAAATACGTATATGTATAAGAATGATTATACATATTTTTATACATATTTTCTCTAAAATCGAACGAAAATTGTTGATAGTAATTTGCGTTTCAGAAAGTGCCGTTTTAGTTTAAACAGCATTTTAATATCTTATCTTTTAAACGACTGGCAGACGTAATGCATTGCAGACCAATCTTTAGATTTCTAGATGCCCAGTTCATTGACTTCTAATGCACGCGTCCTTCCTTTCACTGAGTTGACAAAACTTCTTGCCGTTGTATTTTTACGACAGTTAGTTTTTATACGAAAGGAAAAAACGTAATGTCATAAATAACAGAGATATATAAATATCTAATGCAGTAAAAACAATATTTCAATTTTTTTAGTGACTATTATTATCAGCTTGATAAAAGATTTTACTTAACTGTCATTTTAACTGTATGTCAAGCAAAGAATCCCGTTAAAGAAACTGAATAGATAGTTAAATGATGTTATATTGTAAAATTGTAACTCTAAAAGTAAATCATAATAATCTCTTGTTTTTTAAATATTTTATTATATTATCATATAATTCGTATTTATTTGAAAATAAATATATACACGCCAAAAATAATCGAAAAGATAATTTCATGGAAACGCTGCAACGCCACAATGATTCAGGAATCCTCGGTGAATGTAAAAAGTGATGGCGCAAGGTCTTTTATTGACTTCCTTTACGGACTTGAGCAGGATATCAGCAATTAAATTCAATGAACTGAACAACAATACTGAGAATATTTCCAACAGTAATCGATAATTTTGCTTGAAGCTTCGCCTAGTGGCGTGAAAATAAATATTGCCTAGCTATTCGTCCTCGGAACTTATATTTTCGCAGATACGGTTCATTTGCATCTCGTGACTGCATTATCATTTTTCAAGATTAAATCCTGTAAATTACATGGAATTCATAGAAATAAATACGTTTTTAAAAAAGCGTTTAGCTGAATTATCTGCTAAATTAACTTGTAATTTAACAATGCATTGAGGAGATAATGACTAATACTCGCATAATTATCGTAAAGATGTAATTTAACGACTAGACATTCGTTTCCGATAATTTCTCAATCTTAAACGAGAAAAACGTTTTCGAATAACTTGGAAAATCTTTGATAATTTTGACAGTATCTTCGAAGCAACGGTCATCGTTAACGATACAGTCGGAGTTAATGAAGATGCATCGGAACGTGAGAAAAAGCCACGACGGAACAAGCGGAAGCGAAAAAGAGAGAAAAGAAAGTGAAGAAACGACTGACAATGAGTGGCAGGCAGCAGTAGTAATAGCCGACCGTCGTTAGACGTGTGTTCACTACGTAGACGGATACATTGTCGCCGCCGTCGTTTACAAATTATGTGCGCAAATTATGTTTCTGGAGGATACTCGAGCCGTTCGCGTGAAACTTTGTAATTTCACTCGTTAATGCCGGATATTGCGTCAACATAATTATTTCTTCGAACATTATCTCCAACGCGACGTCGCTATTCCGCCATCCGCCTTGCCGTTCGTTTCTCTCTTCCACGACAAATTAAATCACCTAAATGCCATTCAATGCCAATAACATCTGATTAATCGAGCGCTCGAAACGTATCGGAACACTAATTTCGAATGCTACCTAAGATGGTTTAATTCTAGGGAATCAAGTTGATTACTCGTATCAAGTTGTCAGGCAATAAATATAATCGCGCGTGAAATAGCATCAAGAACGGAGAACGTGGTGAAGTAATGAATAATAAGAAATAATGTGTAAAATATGTATCTGATAATGTTAAATATATGAAAAATCAAAAATTAAAATAAACTCGTGCATTTTATCGATGAACGGATAGTCAGACGTTTGACTCGCACTGACAGCGCTTTATTATTACATTTAAAGGCAGAAGGAAGCAATTTACAAGCGGTAAGAGAAGCGAAAAAAGGGTAAAATATATATTTATGAAATGAAGGAATACTGCAAATGCTAATGATTATATATGTGACGCGTAAAATTGTATAAATTGGATGGACTCTTAAATTCAGGATGTTCGCATTAAAGAGCGAGGAATGCAATTACACGCGTGGAAACGATTACCGTTACGGGGTAATTGAAAGGAGAGTGCGATAGTGCATGAAAAGCGTAAGAGAGTAAAAAGAACCTGGCGGTAGATATCGATAATAGTCCCTTCGAGGTGGAACGACATTAGACGACTCACGAGAATGGGTCCGGTCGGGTTTCATATAATTCCTTATATTGACCCCTATACTCTGTTGCACATCTCTAGCGTATACACCGAGATCGGATGTCATGGGCGATAAATCGGCTACTCTTGGCTCGAACACATCCAGGATGCCCAGCTATGAAGGAAACAGGTAAATGAAGGAAAATCTTAGAGAGATTACGCAAATATCGAGGCAAATATACACCAGTCACGCATAGGTGTCGATAATAATCTTGATTTGTCCTTCCTCAATCTTAACCTTCTCCATTCACGAAACGTTAAAAAAATGTCTTTTTGTTGTATTCAAGATTATATACGTCTTAAGAAAATCGCTTGAAATAATTTGAAACGAGTAAACATCAAAGTAAGATGTAATTTATAATTAGTTGATATTAAATAATTATTTCAGGTTTTTATGTGAACTTCTCATTACTCGTGAATCCTTGAGATATAAAAGTCTTTAAAAATGAAAAACTGTAGAAACTGTGGAGAACCACTTGACACCTTCATGCGCGGTTGACTGTAAATCCGGAATATATTTTTCTATTCGGTGTCTACATTTGGCATTGGTAGGACATTGACGTCAAAGAGGACGTGTTATCCGCTTACTCTTTGCAAAAATGACGTCAATGTGACGAAACCACGCAGCATGAACGAAGGTATAGTGGCCCTGACCCAAGTAGGCTGTAATCGCTTCCTCAACAATCTCAATGACTTTCCGCTAAGATCCCTCGCCAGACGAAGCGTGTCCGTTTTATCCGTGGGCATGAAAAGTATAATGTTGTATCGGGGATCCTTAAATATTAAGAAAATAAGAGATTCTTTACATTGTTCAGTTGTATACTTGAAGTTATTTTAGAAAAATTTATGTTAATTTTAATTTCTAAAATCCAAATTGATCAAGACTATTTATTTAAATATTATCTAAATAAATATTCTTTCTTTGCCTGTATAATGTATAAAATTTTAATTTGAAAGAAAGCTAGTAAAAGAAGGATAGAATAAAATTAAAGATTGATAAATCAAGCTTAAAGTAATTCTCTCAAGTTTTGAAAAAGATGAATTATATTGAACTTTCATGCAGACTTACGTCCAAAGGAAATTCGAGCGCGACAGCTTGCAACGATGGGAAATACGCGAAAGGCAACACGGCGATGTATCTCGAAGCCGATACCGAGGAAATGTCGCAACCGTTCACCAAAAACGACATCTCAGCTGATGAATCTCCGATGGAGGATTCACTAGGGTTTACTGTATTATAAGACTTCCAAATTTCTAGATTTTGCATCCAAATACCTTCGTCTGAAAGATAGGAAATCGAATTCCATCAGTGGGAAAGAATTCTTTTTTAAGGATGTTTTATATTATACATATTTTCAAAACAATAACAAAATTACAGATTATTTTAAATTACGTTAAAAAATTATACGACAAATTTGGTTTACTGGATCATAAGTTATTTTAATAAATAGTAGTATCTTTTAAATCTGTGCTCTGATAAAAATGAAAATATAACATAAATTATAAAAATCTCAATTTTTTTATGTAAGTACATTATGTATTCAAGATTATTTATGTAGAGTTACATGCATTGCGATGCATGAACTAGTTGTCCAATAAATAAACAAAATATTTATTTGTTTTATATTTTTGTAACTAATCAGTGAATCGCAATGAAACATTGCATAAATTATTATTATAAAAGAAAAATGTAAATTTTTTTATCATTGAAAAAAATTTTCATTTTTAACAATGGAAATAATAGCAAATAAAATAATTAAACTACAAAAGTGTGTTATTAAACAAAAATATAATCACACAACTTTCATACGTGTATAGTTTATTTGAAGTGTAAATATTAAACATATTTCCAAATTTAATTTTCTTTGAAGAGACTGTACGTGTGATACATTCTTAATCTCATATAAATGCAATCTAATTTCATTTTTTCCGCTAATAAAATATTTGATATTCATGATTTGATATTCGCAATTGCATAATTTATGTATAGTAGGTAATTGCTACATAAATAATTTATTATAGGAATTTTCCTGCAAGACTACTTAGGAAGATTTAACTCGTAGCTTTTAATTCGTAATACGAGCAACATTTATTCGAAAAAGATATTCGTCAACAGAACGTACCTGGATAGCTAGAGAAATATCCGCGCAGACTTCTCGCTTTGCGTTTACGAAGATTCGGCGATCTATCCTGTAACTCATCTTTAACGGTATTGCTGTTAATTATATTATCTGTCAGATTAGTTATATCTTTCTTCTTTCGATTCGAAATCGTATTTTCATCCACAAGAGATGCGGCCGTTTGATTATCTATAGAACTCATCGTAGAATTCGCGATCATGAAGTTATTTTCAGCAAGATTGTTCGCGTTTGTTGCTGAGACAGGCGGTACCACGGTGGTGACAGAATTAACTGCGACAGCATCATCAATATTGGTCATCGTCGTCATTGTGAGGTCATTTACAGTGGTCATTCCTGGCGTATTCTCGACCGAAGTATCTGCCGATATTTCGGTACTCGATTGCGAATTAACGCCGTTCATCATCACCGTTTCGGTAACGGGACTCGAGATAGTCACGTTCGCGCTATTCAACATTACTGGTACCACAGTAGTTAACGAATTCATGGTAACGGTACTCAAGATCGTATTGGGAATAATTGTATTAATGGGCGTCATGTTGACTGAACTCGCGGCTAATGCGTCGGTACTTGGATCCGCGACGATTGTAGCCGGTGGGTCCGAACTCAACATATTCGTTGTCATTGGTACCTCGGTATTCGTAGCGAAAGTTGAAACATCAGTACTCATCGATACCGTCACGTTAGCATCAGTCGCAGCTGCTGTTGTCATTCCTGCGTCTGTCGATGGTTGAACGCTCTCGTTAGAAACGCTGGCACTCGTTGCACTATCGCTCGCGATGATTGTTGGGGAAGTTTGCTGATCCTGATTGTTCGCGACGGTGACTACAGTTGTAGTTGGAATCATTTGACTGTCTGTGTTTACTATCGGAGTAATCGGAGTATTCGGCGAACTCGCGACAGTTTCCGCACCAGCGGATGGAGTCGGTTGAATACTTTCGTCGGAAGTAACCGCCGTTAAGGAATTTGTCGATTGCGTCGGCACTGTATTCTGGACAATTGTTCCGGTGCTGGTGACCGGAGCCAATGTCGATTGTACATCGGTTGCACCCGTCGATGCCATCGTGACAGTTTGCTGAGTAACGCCCGCTGCGGTCGATGGAACGACTGTTGTTTCCGCACCAGCCGGAGGAAGCGTCGTGATTGCACCCGTTGATGTTGTCGTCGTCATGTCCGGCACATTCTCAGTGTTTGCCATCTCTGTTGATGGCATGCTTGAGCCGATCGTGGATGTCGGAAGTTCAGTTATACCTGATGAGTCTTCCATGCTAACGGTAACGTTCGCTTCTTGCTCAATACTCGACAAATCGAAGCCATAAAATCTCAGAATGTCTTCATACTCAGGACGGAGTCTGGTATTTTCTCTGCTTAGCGTCAAACCGCCCAGGAAGCCGTCGGCGTTAAGGTAGCTCTTGAAATCAATATCAATAAAAAGAATTTATAATGTGTGTAATTTTCTGATTATTTATAACACTTTAATTTCATTTAATAACAATTATCAATTTGTTTTAATATCGGGTTGCTCCTCGCCCTAATGAAGTGAATTGCAATGTTCACGAAACATTGGCATTTTAATAATGGATCTAGACACGGAAATAATTCACTTAGCTTCTGTATAATTATCAATTTTGTTTCTCGGAAAGATGAATACATTTAACAATAAAAATTCAGAAAAAAAATGTCAAATCATATATTTAGAATAATACGTCACATCGAATTTGTATGAGACGTGATAGAAAGAGTCTAAAAAAATGTATAAAAGATATCCAGGGAAATATCTTTCGGATGTCTTCACAACGTCACCTAAGTATTCATATCAGTCTTGTTTGTGTTATTTGCACTTTTTGCATTTTCGCTTTCTCTCTCTTCAACGCCCGGATATATATTTATTTCATCTTAAGTGCAAAAATTTTGAGTGATTTCAAGCAACGCGAATAGATCTATCATATCTTACTCGTAATCGTCGGTGAATATCCCTGAAACCGATCCTGGTAACATCCCGATTGGCTGGTAGACCTATGGCCTCGGCGATTTGTTGACTTCCTCTACCCGCGGATCCTTCGTAGAGTGCCGCTAATACGAAGGCAACCCCCGTTGGCGAGAACGCGACGTTTCCACGCGTCAAATATTGCTGAAGGATCCTCACCCCGAGCTCGTTGACGACATCGGTGATCGCGTCAACTGGACGCTGCGTGTCCGCGCGATACCAAGGATCGTACCTGTAAGCGAACGCGGACGATACTGCTGCAACATAACATCAGTAGGAAACTTTAAAATTCATAACATTGCGTGATTCGACGCGTTAGTACATATCATTTGTTTCTCTAAATTGAAGTCTTCCCACGAATAACACTGCCAGTTTCTTCACGAGTCGCAATCATATTTTTTAACATGACTCTTCTGAAAATCTACAATATAATTCTATCTTTACTTTCTCTCTTTGTATAATTCATACAAAGAAAAAAAATTAAATCAAATATTTTTATTTATCTACATTTATTTGTTTCGCTTTCGTTACGCGAAGGAGAGGCTTCAATTTTCAAGCTCGTGACAATCGCCTTGCCAGATTAGTCCTCTAAAGGAGCCTTCTGACGATATGGCCAATGTACGCGAGATTGTCAAAATATTACACACATACAGACACATGACATGCATAATTATTTACATATGAATGTAGACCAATTTAATGAAAAGTTGGCTTATGTTGGCCAAATCGCAAAGTAATCGAAACGGCCTTACGTACGCTGCAGTATCACGATCAGGTGCAATGGCTTTCCCATTGTTTCCACTGCTTCCTTCTCGATGCTCCGATCGTTACGTCGAGCCGGAGACGGAGACGGAGTCCGCGACGAGATCCAGCCGGTTAGGTTCTAGTGTTAGGATTAGCCTTGGTCGTCCGCGCTCTACGTCGGGACTGGCTCACGTCGGAACGCGCGGATCAGATACGCTAGGCTAACCGCCTAGCTCGTCGGGGCTCGTGGTTCGATTAAGACCCGCTCAAGGGGCCCGTCCGAGACGCGCGAGGCCCGCTCAAGGCCCACTCTTGAGGGGGCCCGTCCGAAGACCGCCGATTACTACCGCGACTTCTTAAGTGGCTAAGGTCGTAATCCCCGTTAAATTGCGCACATAGCTTCCCTCCAAGCCGTCAATTCCTTTTCCTGCCGCTCTTCGTCCCTATTCTTTTAGAGGCTTCTATCTCCCAGCGTTTTCAAGACAAGAAGGGGATCTTAAGTGTGTCGCTGCATCATCTGTGCTTAAGTTTATGATCTTGAGTACCATTGCGGCACGTGAAATATGTACGTGTGCGTGCTCTATTCACAATTCAATGACGAAGATATTACGAGTCCATTGAAGTAAGTATATCAGTCACTGACACAAGGATATTGTGACGTAAGTAAACTTTTTCAGGATTCATATTATTTGGTCAGATTGTCACATTTTTTATATCGTTCATGTAAAATTCAAATTCATTGTTAATTGAAACTAAAGAAAACGCGAAGAAACGTTACTTGCGAGAAATTAATTGCTTTATTTAATTAATTAAAAAATCAATTATAATTAATAAATTAAAAATGATATCAAGCTTCAAAATTAAATCAATTAATAAAAAATCGATTATAATTAATCAAAAACAGACGTATGTCACGCTTTCGTGTGTGACAAAATGTTTTTTACACTATTTCGCGTGTCACATCGTTGGTGCACGGACTGACCTCATTCGTAATACACTAATCGAGCGAGCCGAAAATTTCTCTCTCCGTCGATCGGCAGCGATCGCACGTCTATATATCTGTGCCGATCACAAAACTTCGAAAATATGCGGATATTATCGCGCGTGATAACGGTAGTGGCGATCGGCGGCGGCCGCGCGAAGGAATATAGTGAAGGTGCGGCGAGGATCTGCTTTCGACTGATCCGAGTGGGAGGATCTCCGCGAATGAGGCATTACGTAATATCGCGGTGACTTTTACCGCGCGTGCCGCAGACGGCTGCTGAATGCACAATCCAGAATCCAGGATCTGACGCGACGCGCGAGCCAACAATGGAACGAGGATCATTATCCTGCGCACGCCAAGCACAATGTCTTCGCGTGCGTTCTTTCTCATCCTCTTTCGTTCCATTGCATCCCGATTTCCCTCGCGAAACGGATTATTACCGGCACCGAACGGAGTTTGGCGCAGGGTCGCGTACTACATCCTCATCTACACGGAAAGAACGATTTTGTTGAAGTATCTAAAAACATAACCAGATACAAATCTGAAAATAATTTTGTTGTATCATTAAAATAATTACGTAGGAAACTCAAGCATAATGAACAATGCTGCAAAAAAATTTCGACATTCTAGCCATCAGTTTGAATGTACTATATAATTATTTTAATAATCCAACTTTCTGTTCATATCTGAACTTTAAGATATTTCAGCAAATCGTTTTTCTCGTAAAACCCTTCCCACGATATTCACCGAACGTTTTTAAACGCACACGTCGGGTCGGAATAATCCCAAGGTGATAAACTTGACGATGATTGATGTGCAATTCGTTCAAGTCAGTTTCAACTGTCCGTTCAGGATCGATAAAAAATAGACCCATCAATTTAAACGTAATCGTACAATAAAGGAACTCATCTACTATATTTTTAGGATTTTTTGTTTGTACTGCAGAATGTTATTTAAAGCAGTAATTCATAAAAACTAACGCTTATACCCGGTATCTTTAGTAATTATTTTTAATATAATGACAGAAATTTTTGAAAAGCCTTTCTTATAAAAGAATAATTTTTTTAGTTGGTTCTACACTGCGTAATTACGTTTAAATAATCGGTTTTTCCTCAAGAATAAAACTTATACTAAGCATAAAAACGTATACTTTACATCAATTTGCAAAGATCATTTTAAAATTTACTTTAACTGTAAAATACAGCTGTACAACTGTAAAATAGGTAACTGTAAAAGAAAACTTCTGTGTCAGAAAACCGTGTCGCCTAAGTACATAATTTACAATTAAATAGTCGGTACATGTAGCTCGAGGAGTCGCTCTATACTTAAGCGAGAATGGTCCCTGTAATTAACATTAGATATAAGCAACGATAAAGTCTAATTGCGCATGCAGATGTTCTAGCCGTGAAGCTATTTCGCGAGAAGTAGAAGCGTATTTAATCTATCATCTATCCTCGGCTGCGTCCGATTCAAGAGACAAAAGGCTGAATCAATTTACGCCGCTTCGACACTTGTCGCTTATGGCAGCAAAACTCGCAGCATAGAAGAAATATCGATCCGATCACGCCTGAAAAGAGCACAATGAGGAGTCGCTTTTACTTCCACGAGATGTTATTACACTTCCCGAACGGCGGTATCGCAAAAAACACGTTACCCATGAAAAGCACGAAAAATATGCCTTGCATATCCGTGACGTTTACTTTGCGCTCTTCTACGCCCTGATTGGCGAAGTTGTCCGAACATTTGTCTTTCACCGGTATTTGCTCTGTTATCCACTTGTTCATTAATCCAGACTCGTGCATGCGGTGTAACCTGAATGACGAAGCTTATTCGGTTAATTATTCGGTTAATTGGCTTTGGCAAAATAGCAGATACGGATGGGATTGTTACTGAACTAAGACAGTTACAAAGTGACGACTTATCGATAACAAAGATGAAGCTATGATAAACAGAATTTACGTACAATTTACATATCATTAAAAGAAAATTGATAAAAATTACGTTAGAAAGATTGATGATAATAAAGTACAACAAACAATTAACAGTAATTATTTTACTGTTGTGAGATAATTAATGTATAATGAAACAATTAATTAACTTACTCAGCGTTGATGATTTTTGTGTAAGGACTATCTTTTGCAATAATCATCGCTATGGGCTCGTCCATAAATTCATCAGTGCTCAAAGAAAAGGAGCATTCCTTAGTTAATAACAGGTCACTTCTCATCAAGAATCTGCTCGGGCAATGCATCATTATCGTCATTCCTATCGGACGGACTAATTCATTCTATATGTTCGATGTATGTATGTATATACAGAATGAAATATTTAAAAAACCGTATCTCCATTTATCACGAAATTCTTCAAAAAAATAATTATAACGTTTTATATAAGCTAAAGATATAGGGATATTTACTTTATCAGATTTTACACAATGTTTTCTGAAGAAAAGTTTTTGTAAATTTATAAACAAAATGTTTATTAAAAAATATCCATTTTTTTAATATTACGAAATTACCTCAACGTGCTTCTCCAGTCAATTAACACGTGCTTGCCCGCTTTTATCTGCTTAAACATTTCCACTTCTTGTGTCATGTTATGAATTATAGCCCGCTCCAAAAGAATATGATACTTTTCTTCTTCGGCATTTTTTAGATACTGCTCTAAAAAGCTGCCATTAGGAAAGCCCCAGGTTAATTTGCTTTTATGAGCAATAAGATCATCCACGGTCAGGATGGCAGAATCCATATTTGGGAATGTTAGGAACGCGACCAAACTTCCGGAATAGGTTGCTACCAAGATCATCACAACCAACCACCAGACACCAACCAACAGGCGAGCGCTATCGGAATGGGGTAAGTACATTCCTCCTAAAATCATTCGTAAACACTCTTGTATGTCTCCAGAAAAGGAAAATACGATTTCATATAAAAATAAGCGTAAGATGAAACAATTTTTCTTCAACAAAAATCTTAGAAAATTAGTAATTTGAAAAAATATTTCATAACAATGAAAAAATATAAGAATAAAAATGACGGAAATATGAAAAAATGTTTTAATCTGCGTTACACCTTAAATGAAATAAAAGTAACGCTTCCAGAAACAAGCGGATGCTACCTTGCTGAAGAAGGGCCCCGTAGACGTTCCATATGCATTGCCTGCAGGAATTGAGTCCCGATGTCTTTGTGCTGCTTGGACTGTACTTGTGAATCATATACAAGATCGGGCCCATTATAATAATGGATGCTGCCAGGCAGACCCACGTCTGCAAGCAAAACTAGCACGCTTAAAGGCGTTGCAACAAATACATTATGAAGATACAATGTCGCTCTATCAAATATACATATATAATGCATTATGTAAACTTTAATTTCTAGAAACGTAAAATTGCTGCGGCGTAGAGATGCATATTTTACCTCTTTGGTAAAGGGCGCAGTGAACAACAACGCTCTGGAAAGTTGGCCCGGTTTTGCAGTTAGGAAGCTATATGTCTGCATAAAAATTGGCAAGGTAAAATTGATTTGTTCTTTTCCGTGATCATTCACGGTGTACGCGCAAGCTGCAAGAAGGACCTTTTTATCCAGAATCATATCTATTATCTGCGATGGCATTTCTCTCGTTGTCGACATTAACACCTAACATTTGAAACACTCATTATAGTAAAACATCGAGAAGTTATCGAAAAATTAAATGCTATGCATAAATTGAATAAGCTTTAGAACGAAGATCGTAAAATAAAATGTTACATAATTTATAGTTCAAATAATACTTTAGATTTTTATTATTTAGCAAAGAAATAAATGCTTTGTTCACGTTATGAGCATTCGATGAAACTTAAACTTTGTTATACGTAGCTTTACCGCATTGGCTACAGTATCGTTATGAGTGAACTTGGTCCGATTGACCGCCGGGCTGAGCACACTATAGGTAAAGTTCAATTTTTTCCCTAGGTATTTCACAACGTCAAAAAGGAGTCCTCCGTATTCCTTTTCGCCAGAGTTAGTCAACGAAATAGTTTGCCACGGCGGATTCTATGTAAAAGGACGAAATTAATTGTCCCAACGGGCGCAGTTAGTCAGAGAATCAAAGAGGTCTTTACTTACGTGATACGTAGCGATCGGTAGGTTGATCCCTCGAAAACCGTGTATTATGTGCGGAAAAAAAACATCTGT